GCTGGAGATCAGGTAGCCTCTGCCTCGGGATGCCTCCCAGCTCTGCTACCAATCCCACTCTCTGCCAACACAACTGCAGTGTGTAAGAGCTCCTGGTCTCATGGCCTGCAAGCAGGGCAATCTGTCTGTCCTCAGGCAGAGTGCTTGGAGCTCCTCGTCCTTACCCTTGTCCTTGTCCTTCTGCTCCTTCTCCTCCCTCTATATCTCATCTCGTATCTCATTCTTCTTCTCCTGGTTCTCTGTCTCCTAACTTCACCAGTTCCCAGAGTTCTCCTTCATATCCTTCCACTTCACCTTTGATTTAATTTTCATGTCCACTTCAACCTCCGACAACCCATCCCCTCTTCTGTTTCACCTTCCCCTTCCTCTTAGATTTTCCATTCCCTGTGGCCAACCCAGCATCACCAAATACCCTCACACTCTTGGAACACCCCCAATCACAGGGACCTTCATTACTTGGGAAAAGGAGGCAAAGAGACAGGACTCAGATGCAGGAAAACTTTATTGCACCAAGAAGGGCAGGAGAGGCAGGGAGAGGGATGGTAGGCAGGCCCCAGGCAGGCCAGGTGTCAGGGGCTGCAGGAGGTCAGGGCAACTTGTGCAGAGCTCAACTCCTCCATGCTGGGCTGAGGCACTCACTGGGGTTGGGGGATGTTGGTGGTGGCTCTAGCAGGGCCCGCAGGTGTCCCAGAGCTTCTTGCTGTAGCGGGGCAGGACGCAAGGGCTGCAGGCGGGAGCAGCGTAGGCTCTGCCAAAGGTGCAGAGGCCCCCCGAGGCCTGGGTGGCGCCGGCGCCGTAGAGGCCGCCCAGCCCCAGGGAGCCAGCGAAGGCCGGTGCTCCGGAGGAGCCTACCACGGCCTGCTGGGGGAAGGAGCTGAGGATGGGGCCGGGGAAGGTGACCACCACGGGTGGTGGCTGGATGAAGGCAGAGGAGTCGGGGCACTGGCGGGCGCACAGCTCGTTGCAGCTCTCAGCGATGGGCTGGGGCACAGCCACGCTGGTTCTGGGGGGGCACAGGTCTGCGCTGGTTTTCGGGGGGCACAGGTCGTAGCAGGACATCTTGGCGTGGGATCCGAGGGTGCTCTGCAAGAGAGGGCAGCCATGGCAGGAGAGCAGCCCAGGGCAGCACCTGTGCCACAGGGGCCAGGGCTGGAGCAGGGAGCCACGAGCAGAAGCGCTCGCACACTTACCCTTGTTCCCGAGGAGGAGAAGGTGGCCAGGGCAGTGCTTGGTCCAGTCTGGCCCAGGCAGGGCTTTTATAGCAGCCCCAGCATTGCTCAGCTCCAGTCGGGCCAATCTGCACATGGGACACTCCCTGCTGCTGCTGACACCAGGATGGTGCAGCCCCTGCCCCTCCCTGAGTCAGCATCCCCCAGGTGCCAGCCCAGCACATCCAGCTGTCCAAGCCATCTTGTCCTTCCTGCCACGTCAGATCTTTGATGGCCTTGATTTCACCCAGGAATGAGCTCCAGGAATACTGTTCAGGGGCTGGAGCATGAGAGTCAGGAGTGGCAGAAGCCTTCAGCATGGAGGGGATCTGTGCATCACAGGACAGCTCACCTGAACCAGATGCCATCTACCAGCAGTAAATGCGCAGGGATCTATGCCAGACTTGGGACCAACACCCCTCATGTCCTTCCTGTGATACACTGGGCAACAAACACTGATGTCCATCAGGCCAAGGCTGATTCTAGCCCTGCCCCACTCATTCGGACCATTAAAGGTATTCCTGGTGCCCATTCCTGGGTGCCATCCCAGCTATCAAGTATCTGATATGGCAGGAAGGACAAGATTGCTTGGGCAGTGGGATGTGCTGGGCTGGCACCTGGGGGATGCTGACTCAGGGAGGGGCAGGGGCCGCACAGTCCTGGTGTCAGCAGCAGCAGCAGCAGCAGGGAGTGTCCCCTGTCCAGATTGGCCCAGCTGGAGCTGAGCAATGCTGGGGCTGCTATAAAAGCCCTGCCTGGGCCAGACTGGACCAAGCACTGCCCTGGCCACCTTCTCCTCGGGAACAAGGGTAAGTGTGCGAGAGCTTCTGCTC